GATGAGGATGATGGTGACGATGGTGGTGTCACGGTGATGATGCTGATGGTGATGATGATGATGGCCATGGTCATGATGATGATAGTGCCCCAATGATGATGACGTTGATGGTGCTGGTAAGATGATGATGATGGTGTCCGATGGTGGTGATGATGCTGATAATCCTGATGATGTTGATGATGATGCCATGTTGAAATTATGATGTGCTGAAGATGATGATGATGAGGGTGTCCCGATGATGATGATGAGATTGATGATGATGATGATGATGTTGATGATGATGATGATGATGGTGATGCTGATGGTGTCGCGATGGTGATTATGTTGATGATGGCGTCCCGATGATGATGATGATGATGCTAATGATGAGGTGATGGTGATGATGTTGATGGTGGTGGTCCGATGATGATGCGGATGTTGATGGTGATGATGATGATGATGATGGTGTCCCGATGATGATGACGATGGTGATGATGATGGTGGTGGCGATGATGAAGGTGTCCCGATGATGATGATGTTGATGGTGATGTTGCTGATGATGATGGCGATGTTTTCCCGATGATGATGATGCTGATGGTGATGTTCATGATAGTGATGCGGTGATGATCATGATGGTGGTGTTCCGATGATGACGATGGTGTCCCGATGATGATGTTGTTGATGATGCTGATGGCGATGTTGGTTTCCTGGTGATGATGATGGTGATGATGATGATGTTGGTGATGGTTGTGGTGAGGTGATGATGATGATGGTGCCCCGGTGATGAAATGATGTTGATGACGTTGATGATGGTGGTGGCGTTGATTGCGAGATCGAATGTGATATCGATAGTGACATCGATAGTGATACCGAATTTGAGATTGTGAGATCGGTCGTGATATCGATAGTGACACCGATTGTGATATCGATTGTCAGATCGATTGTGAGATCGGTCGAATGAAACAGATCGCGCGAGCTCGATTGTCAGATCGATCGAGTGAGATCGATCGAGCGAGATCGATAGTGAGATCGATAGTGATGTCGATAGTGGGACCGATCAAGGGGGACGTTGGTTTCTCCCCCCCGAACCTCCTTATCGCCCGAAGGGTGGTCGTATAGGTATATACCTACATACCTGCATGCAAACATACATACTCTCTTACATAGGCACATACATATGTGAAAAAATATGTGCATAGTCATACACGTACATGTGTGGCTCCCAGAGGGAGAGGGTGACGACGTTGAACAGCGGCAAGCCGATCCCACGGCCACTGACCGACGAGGGCTCTTCGGCACCAGCCTGGCACGGGCGGCTCGGCCGGGCCGCCCGGCCGCGCCCCCTTGCCCCGCCACCAGATCTCCTCGGCGAGGGGGCGGGCAAGGCGGAAACGCTCCCTGGCGAAACCTCCGTGGCAGCAGCGCGGGCCACCACGGGTGATGGCTCTTGGCTGTCTTGGGTGGAAGAGGGAACACGCGCGGCGAAACCCAGTCGGAGGCGACGATGGGGGCCAACCGCCCATGGGGGGAGCAATGCATGTATCTAAGGGCGTCGACACTCCATGCCTTCGGCGAGGCCCCCCGGTGAATATGTTTAATGCCCGCTCGTGGGGGTTTCGGCCCTGTCGTCGTCGCCGCCGACCGAGGCCTGACGATGGGGTTGGCTCGTATTGTGAGGGTTTCACCAGGCATCCTGAGCAACCGAGGGCTTTACCAGTTGTGCCGTACCCAGACCCCCGACGTCGTGATTTTTCGATGACGTGCCCCACAGAAGTCTGGACCCCTTTCCAAGGACCGATGTTTTATCCTCCTGAGTCGTTTTCGACGGTCCCCAGGCCCGGGAAGGGCCCCCGGAGGCCGAAAATAGTGAAACATTTGCCGTCGCGATTTTTTCACAGCGCGGGGGGGTCTGGGTAACAACCTAGAGCTGGCCACGGCAGCCTTCAGCTGGGCCCACGAGGTCGCCCTGGAGCTACCGGGTCCTCAGGGGGGAAGCGGGCCCGGACTGTCGCTCGGCGGGTTTCGGGTTCCTTGCGCCCTCCCCGGGTCCCTTGGTCCATCCAACACCGACTCGGGATGAAGATGTGGCTCTGGGGCCAATCCGCGGGGCCAGGTCCCGTTCGCTGTTCCCTCAGAACCCCTGGCGCTGGCCTCGCCATGTCTCCCTCGAAGCGAGCGGGCGCTCGCGCGGGGAGGGGCGCACGACGCTTGCGCGGGGGCTTCGGGAGGGGCGCTGTGGCCCAGGGCGCCGGGCAGTGAGGGAGTTGTTGGTCCTTAAAATCTCCTGGAGGCATGGCGGCCTTTGGAGGTATCCAACTTGGAAAGAAAGCCATTGCATTTTAGCTGGCCGAAGGCGGGCGAGATGGAAAAGGAGGATGAGGAGGAGCGGAAGGAGGAGGAGGGGAGGAGGAGAAGGAGGAGGAGGAGGAGGAGGAGGACGAGCAGTAGTAGTAGTAGTAGTAGTAGTAGTAGTAGTAGTAGTAGTAGTAGTAGTAGTAGTAGTAGTAGTAGTATTAGTAGTAGTAGTAGTAGTCGTATTAGTAGTCGTAGTAGTAGTAGTAGTAGTAGTAGTAGTAGTAGTAGTAGTAGTCGCATTCGTAGTCGTAGTCGTAGTCGTAGTCGTAGTCGTAGTCGTAGTCGTAGTCGTAGTCGTAGTCGTAGTAGTAGTAGTAGTAGTAGTAGTAGTAGTCGTAGTCGTAGTCGTAGTCGTAGTCGTAGTAGTCGTAGTCGTAGTCGTAGTCGTAGTCGTGTCGTAGTAGTAGTAGTAGTAGTAGTAGTAGTAGTAGTAGTAGTAGTAGTGGTAGTAGTAGTAGTAGCGTAGTAGTAGTAGTAGTAGTAGTAGTAGTAGTAGTAGTAGTAGTAGTAGTAGTCGTAGTCGTAGTCGTAGTCGTAGTCGTAGTCGTAGTCGTAGTCGTAGTCGTAGTCGTAGTAGTAGTAGTAGTAGTAGTAGTAGTAGTAGTAGTAGTAGTAGTAGTAGTAGTAGTAGTAGTAGTAGTAGTAGTAGTAGTAGTAGTAGTAGTAGTAGTAGTAGTAGTTAGTAGTAGTAGTAGTAGTAGTAGTAGTAGTAGTAGTAGTAGTAGTAGTAGTAGTAGTAGTAGTAGTAGTCGTAGTAGTAGTAGTAGTAGTAGTAGTCGTAGTAGTAGTAGTAGTCGTAGTAGTCGTAGTAGTAGTAGTAGTAGTAGTAGTAGTAGTAGTAGTAGTAGTAGTAGTAGTAGTAGTAGTAGTAGTAGTAGTAGTAGTAGTAGTAGTAGTAGTAGTAGTAGTAGTAGTAGTAGTCGTAGTAGTAGTCGTAGTAGTAGTAGTCGTAGTAGTAGTAGTAGTAGTAGTAGTAGTAGTGTAGTAGTAGTAGTAGTAGTCGTAGTAGTAGTCGTAGTCGTAGTCGTAGTCGTAGTCGTAGTAGTAGTAGTAGTAGTAGTAGTAGTAGTAGTAGTCGTAGTAGTAGTAGTAGTAGTAGTAGTAGTAGTAGTAGTAGTAGTAGTAGCAGCAGTAGTAGTAGTAGTAGTAATAGGGGTAGTTGTTGTAGTAGTTGTAGTGGTAGTAGTAGTAGTAATAGTAGTAGTAGTAGTAGTAGCAGTTTTAGTTTTAGCAGTAGTCGTAGCAGCAGCAGCAGTAGTAGTAGTAGTAGTAGTAGTAGTAGTAGTAGTAGTAGTAGTAGTAGTAGTAGTAATAGTAGTAGTAGTAGTAGTAGTAGTAGTAGTAGTCGTAGTAGTAGTAGTAGTAGTGGTGGTAGTAGTAGTAGTAGTAATAGTAGTAGTAGTAGTCGTAGTAGTAGTAGTAGTAGTAGTAGTAGTAGTAGTAGTAGCAGTGTTAGTAGGAGGAGGAGGAGGTGGCCCTCAAACGATATCGTGAGGTTCCTTTGGACCGTCTTTGGCGTTTCTTGGCTGTATGGTGGGTGCTCGGGACCGTCTTGGGACGTCTAAGGGCTTTCCAAGGCCGTCTGGAGTCCCACGGGAAGCCCTCTTGGGCCGTCATGGGGTCGTCTTGGGTTCCGCGTGGGCCATCGTGGAGCCCTCGTGGGCCGTCATGAGCCGGCGTCAGTCTGAAAGATGAGAATGCAACCATCGTTTGAAACATATGGGAAATCAGTGATGTTGGTTTCTGCGGACCCAGTTGGAGGTCCTCTGGTGGCCCGTTGTGGGTCCTCTTTGAGGCATCTTGGGCCGTCTTGGGGCCATCTTGGGCCGTCTTCGAGGCATCTTGGGCCATCTTGGTACCTTCGGTTGTCTGCACGGGCCGTCTTCGAAACTCGGACGGCACATTCGTGTTTTAAGAAGAATCCTGACTTGGGAGGCCCTGGAGCGCTTGGGCGCAGCGCATGGGAATGCGGGACGTGCACGATCCTCGAGCGGGTGCGCGCGGGATGTTGAGTCCAAGAGGAAGTAGCCATGCGGGAATTGCGCAGTCTCGAGCGGGCACGCGTGGACGGGGCGGTTCAGGCATTAGCTGCCATGCGGGAGGTGCACCATCTTCGAGCAGGCACGCGTGGAAGGGGGTTCAGGCATGAGCTGCCGCGCGGGAAGCGCACCATCCTCGAGCGGCCACGCTTGGAAGGGGAGTTCAGGCAGTAGCTGCCATTCTGGAAGGGCACCACCCACGATCGGGCACGGAGGAGGCGGCCTCGCACAGAAGGGGCGATGCACGCGGCAGTCTGGGGGTAGAGGGAGGGGCGGCATCTTACTCGAAAGCAAAAGGCCCTACCAGACAGACCTTGGCATTCTTCCTCGCCTCAACGTGCCAGGGGGCACGGTGGTCGATATCTGTATAGATGTGTATATACGCATCTATATATGCCCAACACCTGTCGCCGAGAGAATTGGTCGGAACAGTACACCATGTGTGTTGCCCTGTGGCGTCCCTGCGAGGCCCCACGGGACAGGGCCTGGATACCTCGGTTTGTGTACGCGCGGTTCCCACACTCGGGCATGGGCCCTCGACCCTGCGTCTCCCCTGCGCCCGCCGACGTCGACTGGCGGCCGTCGAGCGCCGCAGCCGCCGTCGGGCGGCGGCCGCCGCCTGCGCAGCTCCTGTGCGGGATCACCGGCGTCTTCCTGCTGAAGGACGGGGGTGGCCGTAGCCGGGTGGAGAGCAGCGGAGGGGGGGGGGCCGATGGACGGCACGTGGTGGTGATTTAACGTGAGGTAAGTTTGGGGATTCGCTCGATCTGCAACAGTCGCAGCAGTTGTGGCCCACTTGCAGGGCGCCTGCCGTTGGATTGCCGGTGCATCAAGCTGTGCAAAGTGTGTGAGCAGGTTGCGGGCCCAGCTCGGAGCAACCATGCGGACACACGCAGCCCACTCGCAAGTGCTTTGCAAGGGGGTTGCAACCACCTTGCACTTGTTGCAAGTCGCAGCGATCACTGAAGTGGTGGATAACCGTGAGTCCAAGAATGGCAGACAAGTATTTTGACCTAGAGCAGTACGAGCTTGAGCGGTCTAAGAACGCCAGAGCTGTGTCTCTCGACGTGGCAGGCAGCAACGACTGCAACGCTGGCCTGGGGAATACTTGTAAATGTCTCGCCGCCGGGAACGCTGCTCGCCCCCCCCCCCCCCGACAGAGGAGGGGTAAAGCCGTAGACGGGCTAAAGGCGATCTAGGTAACAATGATGTGGATTTCGGTATTGTGGCAACGCGTGGTTCGCGTTTTCCTGACATTCGTTGTGTCGTGTTCGCTCGATCCATTCGCGAATGAGACATGTATGAAAGGGTGGCTCGCGATGTTCTACAATTTGGTTCCCACCGTCACCGTTGAGCGACATCGCTGTCAGCCTGGCCTTGGTTTGGGGAGGCGCTCCCATATAGTTTCAGGAGGGAGCAAAGGCGCACCGACACGACGAATCGTCGACCCCCCGGAAACGAGGGGAACATATGGGAAGGGGGGGGGGGGGAAGGCCAAAGCCAGGGAATTGTAGGGGAATCTGGGGGAGCCTCTGCCCCCCCTGCCGGCGGGAAAATAGCCACATTTTGTTGCGCGTGCGTTCTCCTAAGCAGCGGCGGCCGCTTGCTTGCTGTGTTGGCTCCGTTTGTGCCAGTGGCTTCTTTTCACCCAGGAGGAAAGGGCGAGGACGGTCCTGCGGCAGGTCAGCCTGCCGACTCCCCAGTCTCTATCCAATAGTCGGCGTCGGTCCGTGGGTTCATCGTTGCCGAAAAAAAAAGGGGAATCTGGGGGAGCCTGGGGCTCGTGTGTGTCTTCTTGTCGTGTGCCCCTGGGGCCCACTTCGAGGAAGCGCGTCGGCGAGCGGCCCTCGCAGGCCCTGGCCGGGCCACGGGGGGTCCTCGCGACGGGGGGGGTCCTCGGGCGCTGGCTGCTGCGCTCGGCCCACGGGGGGGCCCTCCCTGGCCTTCTGTCAAGCCCACCACCCGCCAAGTTCGGGGGAGCGTAAGACCCAGGTTTGCCGGGACTCGGGTTCGCCATCGTTTTTTGACGACCGCGCCTGGGATTTTGACGAGGAGGGGTTTCGTGGGATGTCTGCAGCGGGAGGCCTCGTCAAACTGCAGGCTCGGCCTCGTCATTTTTTTGACGACCTCGTCGGGGATTTCCGAGTCCCCTGTACCCGGGTCTTACGTCTCCCCGCCAAGTCACCCCAACCCCACCCCGAGGGCTTCAACTTGCCCTCCATTTCCAGTGGGGGGGGGGTCCGGGAACATGGACAAAAACACGCATGGAGCCAGTATACCCCCCCCCCAACCCAAAATTCGGGTCGTCGGGTTGGGTTGGGATGGTCTGGTAGATATTCATAGACTGCTTAGGGCATAATGGGCTTTATAGCCCCCTCCCCCCCTCTCCCCTTCCCCGCCCCATAACGTAACGCCCCTCCCCCCCCAGTGCGCTCCGGCCACCGCCGCCGTGCGCATCGGGCACACGGCGGGGGGGAGGCGTTGCATTATACCCCCCCCCCCCTGGCCCCTCCCAGCCCCCCACAATGCCCATTATCGCCGAAAATGCAGAAACGCGCTCCTGGACCGTCAAAAACAGTTCATCAGAGGAGGGAAGGTGCCCATACCTCTACCCTTCCCTCGATTTCCCCTTTTTGGGCCTCCTGGGAGGCCCTCGTCGCCACCGATGGATTCGCCTCGAAATCCTGCTGAAATCGCACCCCGGGCGAAGTCCGGGTAGCAGCGGTATCAATACTTTTTGGTCTCCCCAACTAACGATGGAGAGCCGGTCCGCGGGAAGTGGTCTAGTCCTTTAGGAGTCCACGCTGTGAGAAAATCATGGCGTCGGGGGTCTGGGCTGAAGGTGCCCTGCGTGGTCCCTGAGCCCGTCGGAGCCCGAACCATCGTCTACTCGGGGACTCTCGGGGCGCTCTTAGGGCGTACTCGGGCGCTCTTTAGGCAATCTTGGAGCCCTTCTGCTCCCCGCTTGGGGCTCTCTTGAGCGATCTTGTGACGATCCTGAAAGCCGTCACATCGGCAACGAAAAGGCAAGGAGGCCCACTTCATTGAGCAACGAATTGGGCCACCCAGGGGTATCCTTTGGAGACCCAGTCGCCTTTCGGAGCCGTCTTGGAGCAATACTGTGGCATCTTTGAGGCATGCTGGAGGCGATCTTGAGACCACTTGGGCCACAATGTACAATATTGCAGGTATTCTTACGGCATCGGGGGGCATCCTGAAGCCGTCTTGGGCCAATAGTCTGTCCAGGGATGTCCTCGGGAGGCAAGAAACATCAATACCATATGCGTTGTTGCTCCCAATCGCGAGGGGTATGAGAAGGTAGGGGGTCATTTAGCCCCGACCCGTCGGAGCCCGATGGGTCTCGGGACGCTCTTGGGACGCTCTTGGGGCCATCTGGCGCTCTTATGGATCCCTCTTGGGGCACTCCTGGGCGATCTTAGGGCCACCTGGGGGCCTCAGAGGCCCTTTCAAAGAGAAACGATTAGAATGCAAGCGCCAATGAAACAAGTCGTAGACGTTTGACTGATGTTGGCATCTCGGGGGTACTCTTGAGAGGCTCCGTGGCCCCTTGGAAGTTATTGTGAGCTATATCTGAGGCTAACTTGGTGCCATCCTGAGCCAATCCACGACACCTCGTGCCCACTCCCAGGGTAAGGGCGTCGACAGCCAGGAAAACGGGGGTAGACAGGGGTCAAGCTACCCCAACCGAAGGACGGCCGTCTCGCTCACTACCACCCGCCCCGCCCCTCACACCACATAAGTCACACCACAGCCGATCGAAAGGGCGGGCCGGGCGTTTCGTCTAAGACTTCCTCACCTTTGGTGAGCCTGAAACTGAAAACTGGCAGCTGATTCGCAGATGGAGAGTGGGTGTTTTTCAACATGTGTCTCTCGCCTGAGCGCCATGCACATGCGTTGCACAAGTGTGCAAGAGCTTAACGGATTGAGGCTGGGCCGTTTTCAAAATGTGGTTCTCGCGATAACGCCGCCTTCATTCTTTTTAAACATTTTCAAAAGTTTCACTGATTGAAGCCGGGTCGTCTTCAAAGCGTGGTTTTCCCCACGGCGCCGCGCACATTCGTTTTACAACATAGTCAGAGCTGCACGGATTGAGCCTAGGTCTTTTTCAAAAGGCTGCGTTCGCCTGAGCTCCGCCCACACTCGTACCAAAAAGCGGCACGATTGAGGTTTGTCATTGCGCAACAGTTACGCTGATTCGCGGTGTTTACGTCCCAGGAACGGTGCTTTGGCACGACCGAGGATCGCCAGTACGTAACACGCTGGTTATCTCGTGGCGTTGCGGTCCTGAGAATGGTGTTCTGACACGCGTCAGGATTTTCACACGTTTGTCCCCAAGCGGGGCAATTCCCTGATGGGAAGCGAAATTCTGCAGGGGCAGACGAAGAGGGAACTCGGCAGGAGGGTGTATGCCAGCGTCGTTGCTGAGTCTTGGGCTTGCAATGGTATGCTTTCTCCGCTCTCTGCCACAGGGCGCTCCGCGAGTGGGCAAAAAAAGTGCCCCTCGCACCCTGCACTTCGGAGATTTCCAGTCGTGCTCGCGGCGCCCCCCTGCCGCGCGGGCCTCGGGGAGGCAACCGGCGGCGGCTGAGGCTGGAGGGCCCGAGATCGCCACGAGGCTCGAGTGTGCTGTTCGTCGAAGCTCGGGGCGGCCAGGGAATCCACGGGTTGATGGGCACTCCCGGTGCGCGGTGGAGGAAGCAGCTGTGACGGCTCAGTGGGCGCAGCAGTGGCGACACGAGGCATGCGACAGGCGCGTTGCCGCTGGATCGACGGCACGCTTGCCTTTCCCATCCAGTTGCGCACGGCTTATGTCATCATCGGCGCCAGACCCTGATTTGTCGGCATATGCGCACCGCGTGCCGTACAGGACGGCCAACCGTGGCACAATTATTGGGTACATATTTGGGCCAGCCAGGATCGTTTCCACGCGCCGACATTTCCAGGCGCCCGGCGCCACCGCCCAGCCCCATGTAGGTTAGGAGTTACTTTTCGGGAGGTCTTCCTTAGACCAGCCGAAGGTCCCGTAGGCCAGATTAAGACGGATTTGGCCTGAGCCGGGGTTTAAGCCAGATTATGCCAGAGTGCCAGGTCGGATTTGGCTGGTCTTCGTTCACGGACATACCAGCGCCGATGCAATATTCAATTTCCCGGGAGCCGCATCCGAACGCATGGCTGCCCTCTCAGGACGACAAATGGGGCGTTCCAAAAAGGGCCTTGCCTTCGAGGATCGAAGGAGTTGTTATCTCTTCAGCGGCGGAAGGTCGGCGGAGGTAAAACGAGGCCGCCTCCGCCAGCGGAAGCCGGCGGAAACCCTGCGGAAGGTGGCGGACGTTTAAAATACGCCCCCAAGAGATGAACACGTTTTTGGGTTCAGGGATTTCGAAAAGCGCCCACATGATCGGATGCAACTCCTGGGAGGTCAAATTCTGATTTTGCCCTGGTCCGGAATCCGGCTTCATCCCGCTCAATCCCGCTCAATCCCGCTGACTCCCGCTTGATCCGAGGCCCACTCCGGCGTAGCAGCTCCCAAATGGGGCTTCTCCTCCTTCATCTTTCCGACGGAACCCCCCCAGTAGCTGCCTCCTAACCTGTGGGGCAGGCGCCGCTCTCCGGTCCCCTCCTCGTGCGGGCAGGACGACGAGAACCTGACGGCCTGCTACAGCTGCCTGATGAGCACCCCGCTCGAAAACTGCGCGGGGCCGGCAGGCTCCTATTCGTGCCTTAGCTGGGAAAGGGGGGGTCAGGAGGAGGAGGAGGAGGAGGAGGAGGAGGAGGAGGAGGAGGAGGAGGAGGATGTGAGAAGATGGCGATGAGGAAGGGAGTGTGTGCGTGTGTGGGTGGAAGAGGCGGGGAGGTTGTTCCTCGGACTCCCAGGGCGAGTGCAAAGGATCAGCGCATCTCCACCTCCCCTTCCGAGCTCAAGTCACGGCAACAAATCACCCACATGTCGCGCCGAGGGCCGGTGAAGACCGCTGAGGCCTGCCAATGAGCCCCCAAGACCGTCGAGGGCCGATGGTTAGCCTGAGGGTCGTGCTTGAAAACGGAGCCTCCCAGCGCCCAGGGACCCCTTCGTGGAGCAGTATCCCCCAGAGGCGCAAGGGGGGAGAGGAGGTGGAGGAGGAGGCCAAGGCTGTGAGTCGGTCGCCTGGTCGTGCCTCCGTGTTCGACCGCATCTGGCCGTTCCTTTTCCCTCTCCCTGTCCTCCCCCTCCGCCTCCCTCCCCCCATCACCCTGATCCCTTCTTCCCACCGCCTCCCTGTCATCACCGCTCTACCTCCCCGTCCCACTCCCCATTCCCGCACCGTCTCCTCGCCCCTCCCCCCCCCCCCTGTCCTCTCCCTTGTCCTCTTCCCCCTCCCGCTCTCGCTGCCCTCGCTCGTTCCCTCCTCGTTCCCGTCGTGTCTCCCCGTCCTCACATCTGTCATCCTCTGCCTTTTCCGCTCCAAGCCGTGCTCGCGCCAACCTCAGATTGGCATTTGCGTCAACGGGCAGTCGGCTCGGCACTCGCGTGCCGTCCCCAGCCTCGCGTGCAGCGGTCCTGGCAGAGGGGGCGCAGGGACTCGAGCGAGCGGCACGTCCTCTCCCAAGGGGCCACGTGGGAGAGTGCGCCTCGCGGGCGGAGCGACACGCGATCCCAAAGTTCCCGAACTGATTCTCCTCTTTTGCCCTGGGCCTCCGAGCCGAATACCCCCAGGCGGAGCTTCATCAGAAAAATTGAACATCGCCAACCAGAGATGCGAACATTGCCAAACATAGTCCAACAATCGTCCAACAATCGTCCCCGGGAGGACATGCCCGACCGAAGGCCTGCGCTCGACCTGCGCCCGACCCAGAGCCCGACAGGCTGCAGCCGCACGCCGTGCGCTCGGCAGCCTTCAGGAGGGAAAAACACACACAGACACACTGAATCCTCGATTCCCCAGAAAATATGGGGAAATATGGGAAGTGGGGGGGAAGACGAAAACTTTCAATATATGAGAAAATATGGGGAATCATTTTGGTTGTGTGTATTTATTTGTGTGTCCTGGGGCCCCTTTCAAGCCTGGGGCCAGCGCCCTCCACGAGGCGCGCTCTCCCACGTGGCCCCCTGGGAGAGGACGTGCCGCTCGCTCGAGAGCCCCTGCGCCCCCTCCGCCGGGACCGCTGCACGCGGCGCTGGGGCCGGCACGCGAGCGCGCCGAGCCGCCTTGCCCGTGGACGCACACGCCGATCCGAGGCTGGCGTGCGCACGGCTCGCAGGCGGAGCGACACGCCATATGCGCCCGCAGGGGATATGCCGTGCCGCCGGGGCCGCCGGGGCGACGCGCTCTGCCCACAGGTTCTGCCGATGCTCCGCGGAGGCAGGGGCGGGGCAGCTGCCCCGGAGGCAGGGGCCCCGGCCTGCCCGGGCGCCCACGCGGAGCTCCGAGCCGGGCCTTGGCCGCGTTCCTGCGGAGTCGGTCACCACCCACCAAACCACCCCAACCCAACCCGAAGGCCCAAATTTATCCTCGATTTCCAGTGGGGGGGGGTCGGGGAACGTTGAAAAAACGCATGGTATCCGTACCCCCCCCAACCCGAAATTCGGGTCAAATTCGGGTCTTCGGGTTGGGTTGGGGTGGTCTGGTAGGTAGTCAGTCGGGCCTGGGGGTGCGCGGCGCTCGTGCTCGCCGTGGAGCTGGCCGGGGGGGCGGGCGGCGGGGCTGGGCGGGTGGGGCAGGGCACCGGGCCCCGCGGTCAGAGGCGGCCACATGTTGAGACCCCCTTGAGTCATGCAAAAATCACGACGGGAGGTTTTTCGCTATTTTCGGCCTCCAGGGGCCCTCACCGGGCCTCGGGAGCGTCAAAAAACGACTCAGGGTGCAAAGCCGGTCATGGGGAAAGGGTCGGGACCTCTGGGGGTCGACGTAATGAAAAAATCATTACGTCGGGGGTCTGGGTTGCTCAGACCCCCCTCCGCTCCCTCCAGGGGAGCGCCCCGACCTTGCAGCAGGGCCATCCAGAGGAGCGGGCGGGGCCCGCGGAGGAGTTCGCTGCATGCCCTGCGGTTCTGCTGGGGGGCGGCTTGGGCTGGGATGCCTTCAAGCGCGCTCCCATTCCCGCCAAGGTGCCATCAGCGCCGCGCCGTCCGATCAGCCTGTGACGATAGCATCAGTCCAGCTTCTCTCCCAGTCTGTCTGCCGTCACCACCTCCCCCTCCCGAGCGGGGCGAACCTCGCTGGGAGACGCGCGATTGCAGCATTCCGTCTTGGCACCGCCTGTCTTTCGTCACCCCCAGGAGCCTGCGGGGGGGGGGGGGGGGGCGAGGTTCCCTCGAACGCGCCCCACTCATTGGGTTTGAAACGCTGGATGGTGTATCGCAGCACGAGGTTCACGCGTGAGCGCACCTGTTGTCCCCAATTAGGCCGGGTAGTGTCCTTTGGCTGCCTTCGACCGCGATGTGGACTTGAGCCGCTGCGACCAACAAGACCGACGCGTGACTTTCGTCCGTCCCCTCCCCGTCAGGATGGCGCCGCTCTCGCCCACAGGCAGGGCGGTGGCCCGAGCTCTCGCGATGCTTTTTTGTCTCCTGTTGGCCGGACACTGTTCTTCCAGGGCCATCGTGGGCCCCCTGCCGCTGCCCGCAGTGCTGTCGAAGCCCTCGGGCTGCCTGTGCAGACGCGCGATGCGAACGTCTGGAGCGCGGGCAGGGAGCGGTCGTCGCCACGCGCCGCGCGCCTCGCCCCTCCCGGGTCCAGCACGCGCTCTCCCAAGAGGTCGTCGACCAAGCCTGTTTTGTTTGTTGGGTTTATTTCGTTTGTTTTTGTTTTTGTTTTTTTCGGGTTTAGTATGCGTTTTTTTAAGAGGTCGTTGATCAAGTCTCGGCGCGGTGTCGCCGCTGTGGCTGCACATCCCTCGGGCTCCAGGGTGCCAGACCGCCTTGGATTCGGTCCCTCCGTCGGGGGCGGCCGCGGTGGCCCGCGACTCGAGCCCACGCCCTCTCCAGCAGTGCCCAGTAGTGCCGGGCCAGACGAAAGGGGGGGGATTGGGAAAGGGGGGGTACGAACTTTGCTGCATGCAGCCGGTTTCGGCCCCGCCGAGGCGCCCATGCCTCGATACATGGACGCCTCCCGGCGCCGGGAGGCGCCGGGAAAATCAGCCACGTGAGCTGATTCTCACCCCCCCCCTTTGCTATCCCCCCCTTTCGCCAGGCCCGACAGTGGGCACGGGCAGGGCAAGCGCTCCCCCTGAGCTTGGCAGCTCTCTCTCGGTGCCGTCGAGCTGCGTCGACGCACTGGCAGAAGGCTTGGCCGAGCAGGCCGCGGCGCTGGGAGCCCCCGTCACCTCGAGGCCCCCGAGGGTCGGAGCGCCAGGGGCCGGCCCACATCGTCGCTGTGCCGCGTGCCGCGGTCAAACTGTATGGCCTGGCCTCGAACGAATTTGGCTTCCATGGCCTTGCGCGAACTTCCACGGGGCCCCTTGGACTCCGAAGGTTCGTGCCCAGCCTGGGCTCCCTCCGGCTCCTCGCGAATGGATGCTCGTCGGAGTGGCATTGGCGTTCGTTTTGGCGGCGTCCCGACTCTGTGCGCGTGCCCCGGTCGCTGAGCCAGTGGGAGGCGCACCAGGCACTGGCGCGTCCAGCCGCAAGGTTTGCGGAAGCTGGGCCATCGGTGTGGTATGATCAATTGCAGTGGCGACCCAGCCGTGTACATGTCAGCGTTGTGCATGCTTCATGCCTGGTGCGTTGCCAGCGCTCTGCCGCATGCAAGCCTCCCGAGGAGCCTCGCGAGGGCCACAACGGACGGCTGCTTGGTACAGGACTCCACCCCCAATAACGTTGGGGCCACATTCGTCCAATCAACTTTTTTCTTCATCCAGGTGGGGCCGTTGGTCGCTAGTACCAAAGAATCACAATTTCCCGTCAGTCCCTCATCCTTGTCCCCTTTCTCCATTCCATTGCCCGCTCCTTCCCCCTTCGCATTCCACAATTACGCGTGATGGTTGCTACTCTCCTCTCTCGCCTGACTCTGTGCCGAAGATGGTCCGCCCTCCCCGCATATTGTTTCACACTGGATTCCAAACGTTGGTTGCCCACATCTGTATTTGCAATCCAACTGCTTCCAGTGATTCAAATGGGTGTTCCCGCTGCAGCGTGGGCCTCATTTTAAGATCGGCACTGTTCTCCCGTCGTTCGCAACGGCGCCCTCGCCTCAGCGTGGGCCGATTCTCTGGATCCGAGTGCCGTTGTATCGTCGTCGCCCTCTAATTGCCCGTCGTCCGCCTTCCCATGGTCCTCCTGCTCAATCTAGTCCTTCCGCTCCAATTAGTGCTTCTGCTGCTGTTCGTCCGCGTCTTCCTCATTCCTCATCATCTTCCTTTCCCTCCCGCTCATTCTTCTTTTAAAACCCACCATTCATAGTTCCCTTCTATACGATTGCGCATGACATGACGTGGTCTTTTTTTGAGTCCAGGTCGGCTACGACACGCGTCCGCGAGGAAAGAACAATGAGCGACATGGGAAGGGATGAGGGAGGTATGGGATGTTAGCTTGCATCTCGCCGCTCTTATCGTCTCCCTCCTCCACTCTTTCCCCTTCCTCCCCTCCTTCGCTCAAGCCCGCAACCTCACCAGAGGTGGTGGTTTCGGTTGCCTCCAGTCCTTCCTCTTCATCTCTGGCTTCAACTCCATCCTGATGCTGCTCAATTTGTCGTCGAGGTGGCAGCAGGCTGTTCTGCCCAGCCCCCGGCCGGCGCAAGGAATAGGCGTTGGAGGATGAGATTGTCGCCAGTTTGGGTCAAGCGGTGATTGCTATGGATCTGGTATGTCAATTCATAATGCGCGTTATTGATTACTGCTGCGCGAAAGCCAGAGACGAGCCGCATACAAAAAAGTTAGTCAAAATGGCATGGTATCCAGATGTGGTTGGGAGGCGGATCTGTCGCCATCCTTCTCTTGCAGCGGCAGATGAATGTTGCTACATAGAACGCCCAACGCTTCGAGTTCGCAGTGCCAATCCAACCGATGAGCTGGATTCACACCAGTGACATGCAGGGGAGATAGGACCTGGCTGAAATAAATGTAGTTGCATCGTGAGCCCGCCAGTTCGCCTCGGCGTGCAACTTACTTTACTGTACGTGCCGGTTGCCCGTCGGTGGGTATACCGCGCGTGCTTAGAGCCTCGTGGTCGCGCACCCCCTGCGACTGCGAGCGCAAACGGAGCCCACTGTCCTAGGGAAAGGTTTCAGAACACCGACCGTCGAGCAGGAAACTGAAGCTTCGCAACGGCGCCCGCGCCGCGTGCTAGGGATGTCTACGCCCTGCGACCCAAAAGGGGGCTCGAAACCGCCATCTTCGCCATCGTGTGCCGGGAGCAAGACATGTGCCTCCTTTTCATCCGCGCTCTGATTGGCAACATCATCGTCTGTAGTCAGGTCTCACGGCCGGTGCCACCGACACTGAAAGGGATGACGACGACGGCGACGGCGAAAACCATTCCATTGGCCTGGAGAAGGACCCAACCATCGGCAGTTGTGAGGGGCTCAGTTGTGAGAGTCGTCGTCGGTGGCGCCCCCTATGGGGCTTCGAAACGTGTGAGGGGTGCGCCGAAATGGGGCGGGGGGGCGCATGTGTACCCTCCCACTGCGGCCTTCGGTGGAGCCCCCTGTGTGGCCAAGGAGCGTGTGCGAGGTGCGGCGAACTGGAGCGGGATGAGGCATGTGGACCCTGCCACTGGGGTCTTCGGTGGAGCTCCTCACGGGGCCACGAAGCTTGCTTGTGATGGGTGTGCCAAACAAGGGCGGGGCGGCGCACATGGACACTTCCATTGGGGCCTTCGGTGGAGCTCCCCATGGGGGCGCGAATGTGATGGATGTGCAAGAATTGGGCGGAGGGACGCATGTGGAGTGTGCCTCTGGGGCCTTTGGTGGAGATCCCTATGTTGGCACAAAACGTGTGAGGGGTATGCCAGACTGGTGTGGTGGGACGCATGTGGACCCCGCCACTGGGGCCTTCGGTGGAAATCCTTATGGGGGCACGAGACGTGTGAGGGGGATGCGACATGGGGCGGTGGGACGCATGTGGACTGTGCCACTAAGGCCTTCGGTGGAGCTCTCCATGTGGGCACGAAACGTGTGAGGGGTATGCCAGACTGGGGCGGTGGGGCGCATGTAGACTGTGCCTCTGGGGCCTGCGGTGGAGCTCCCTGAGGGGCACGAAACTTGTGAGGAATGTGCCAAACTAGGGCTGGGGACGCCTGTGGACTGTGCCACTGGGGCCTTCGGTGGAGCTCCCTACGGGGGCACGAAGCATGTGAGAGGTGTACCGACATGTTTGACATGCAGGGCAGACGCAGGGATGGGATGAGGGAGGAGGGAGAAGATGGAGGGAGGGACTGAGGAACGCGGGGCGCTGACTCTTCAAAACGAGGGCCCAACACCACAGGATGGTTGGGACAAGCTTAACGGAAGACCGTTGATGTTACCCTTTTGGGGTTGTCCTGGGAGTGCTCTTTGGGCTCTGCTGGGCCTCTTTGGGGCTTCTTGAGCGCCTACTGGGGCCTCTGGGGGCCTCTTGGGCCCTCTTGGGTTGATATTCTCCCTCTCGGGGATCTCCCTCTTGGGGACTTTTTCTGCCGTCTTGGGGACCTCGGCGGTCTTGGGGCCGTCTTGGGCTGTTGTCGGGCGTTTTCGGCAGCCTCTTGCACAGTGTTGGGGCGATTGGCCCGTCGTGGAACGTCGAAAGCCCGAAAGGCCGGGACGCGAAAAACAGATGTAAAGAATATTCAAATCGTTGATTCTCGCCCTTGGGTGCCCTTGGAGCTCTTCTTGGAGCTCTTTTGGGGCGTCGTGAGGGCTTCTGAGGCCTTCTTGACCTTATCTTGGGCAGTCTTGTCGTCGCGATCTTGGGCTGTTTCAGGGCCTTCTTGGAACAAGCCGTGGTACAAGTGAGCTGGAGGCGTCCGAGAGGCAAGAAATCGAAAAGAAAAGCTTCTCTCAGGGGAAGGTGCTCACCCCTCGGGAAGGGTCACAACCCCCGAGACGAGCACTGGTCTCCCCCTACCCCGACCCGGGACCACTGGGACCCCCCCCCCGTCCAGCGGAGAGGGATCAAAGGTAAGGGGTTTCCCTTCGACTCGATTACGACGTCGCTCTCATCAACACCATCGTCGTCCGGAGGCTACAAGGCACGTGGGCACGATTCGCTGATCTCTTGTACGATTAGCCAGTGCGTAAGGGAAGCTCTGAGACGAATCCCGAGATGGAGCTGGACCGAAAGGTCCGCGCTGTTTGCTATGAGTTGCTCCATAAAAATCAATCAGATCTTGCCACCTCAGGAGGAAATGTCGTTCATGCCTGGTGACTCGATTCCAAAGGACCTTGCAGATCGCCTCAGCCTCGAGGATTGGACGGCCCTGCTCCAAGATGTATGCAATTGTGTGCGGCATACTGCGTGCAAAGCCCCGTGCGCCCTCACATGCGACTGTCTGAAAAACTATCCTCTCTGCGGCGATCTGCCCACGATGGTGTGCGTGACCTGTTGCTGCCCTTGCTGGTTACCCCGGCAGCTGTCCAAGTAGGGTCTTGACTGAGTGGTCGACGACCTCCAGACCAAGTGGCAGAGCAAGCATGCGGACCACATCGTGTTGTTGCCCCGCGACACCAGCGTGAGCTTCCGGTGCTGCTGTCTTCTGTCGGTGGCCATGGCATTCACCCTCGAGGCACCCGGCAGTTGGCCACATCTTCCCGAGCGCTCATCGCCGGGCCATGCCAGCAGGAGTGCAGCGGGTGTCATCGGGGCGGGCATGTTGCTCGCGCTTGCTCTGTGAGTGTCGAAGAAGAGCAAAACGCCATAATCAGAAACTGTTGGCGCTCCGCGGAGATTTCTCGGATCTGCGCTGGGCCCCCCTGGCGGCGCCTCCGGCGCTGCCCCTGGCGCGCTCCGCGCGCCAGGGGGTGGGGTCCAACGCGGATCCAAGAAATCCGCGCGGAGCGCCAACAGTTTATGTTCATGCCGTTTTTCTCCTTCTAGAGTTGTAGGGGTGGGACGTCTGTAGGGCTTTGGCACTGGTCCGAGGTGCTCACGAAATGACGTCATTGTCATGTGGCGGAAGCTTGCTTCACTTCGGCAATGGGTTCAGCAACCTTGCAGCCACGGGGCTGCAGCATTGCATTCAGCGCTCCGGGGCAGCAAGATGGAGAGAGGAAAAGGGAGAACATATCAGGAATCGTCGTCATCATCCACAGCATCATGAGACCAGGCGATTGAGCAGTCCCGACTCACTCCTAAGCAGTTGGGTTGCGGAATCGACCTGTTTGGGTCTTCGGCGGTTTCGTTTTGTTTTCGCAGCGATCAAATCTGCATCGTTTTTTTGACGATGCCACATGTAGCGTTCGAAAACATGTTCTTCAAGGTCATTTCAGACTTTTGACTGTTGTTCGAGAAGATAGCGCAACGCTCTTTGCGACAAGTAACCGTTGAGCTCAGTTTTGTGATTGAGCGGGAAATATTTCGAAGAAGAAGGAAAATAACAACGGCATAAACGTAAATTTTTGGAGCTCCGCGCAGACTTCTTGGATCTGCGCTGGACCCCCTTCCTGGCACGCGGAGCGCGCCAAGAGCGTCGCGAGAGGCGCCGTCAGGGGCCTCAGCGCCGATCGGAGACACCCGCGCGGCGCTCCCAAAGGTGCAGATCATTCAGCACTCTCGTCCTCTAGTGTTCTCCGGCGTTCTTAAAAGAAGTGTTCCGTGTCTTCGGAGTTGGAGGGCCAAGCCAAACTGCGTCTAGAAGACCAACATTTGGGGTCGATGTCAAATACCGCTCTCACGTCCCAGCCAAAAGCGTCCTTGGACAAATTGGGTGCCGCGACGTCCATAGACACTGTCAGGGTGGATACGTCTATGGACAGCGTGGCCGTTGCGTCCGGCGCGGTGCAAAGTCGGAGAAACGGTAGATCCGTCTACGGCATGTGCATGCTCCAGAGCAGGCCAGGGACCACTGATCGGCGGCGAGCGATGAGTGCAAGGCGAGGGCCGTCTCAGAAGGCGGCGGGGCTTCTCCGAGGCCCTCGCGCTTCCTGAGAAGTTTCCGGTGTCCTCGGGGGAGGCTCGGGAGACTTCTCAGACGGCCTCAGGACTTCCGAGCCTCCTGAGAAGGTCCGCCCCTTCTCACTTCCCCCCCTCGCTCGCCGCCGAAGACGTTCGCCCCGTCCCCCGACCGCGCGAGAGGGGGTCCGTGCCGCTCAACTGCCCCGTGTGAGCGGCCGCGCCAGGGGGGGGACACGCTCAGGGGGGGGGCACAGCGACCTGGAATCGGCGACGCATCACACACCGGCGATGATCGGCCCGTTTTCCACCACCACCACATTCATAAGCTGGAGGGGGGAAGGAGGTGGAGGAGGAGGAGGAGGAGGAGGACGAGGAGGACGAGGAGGAGGAGGAAGAAGAGGAGGAAGAGGAGGAGGAAGAAGAAGAAGAAGGGGAGGCGGACCCCCTCCCCACCCAACTTCTCAGGGCGGTGGTGGCGCGCGGGCCCCTCGGGCGATGCGTCGGCGCTCGGCCCCGGGCTCGCCGCCGAAGGGAACCAGGGCCTCCGAGGGCGGGCCGGCTGCACGCCGCAGCGGCCCCGGCGCCGGAGTCTGGGCATCGCTCGGACGTGTGCATCGGGCGTTCACTAAAAAGCCTTGCCCTGGTCGATTCCTGCCTTGGGTGCGTTTACTAGGCGGCCTCGCTTGTGTCGGGGCGGTTCTTACAGGGGTGGATGCTTTCCTTTCTGTTTTGGTGCCCCCTTGATCCTGGCATCGCTCGGACGTGTGCATTTTTCCTTCGGCGAGGACCATCGAGGAGCATCCTTGATCATCTGGCGAGAGAGCCACGCACGAAACCGAACAAAAAAAAGCCGGGAATGCACGTCCGAGCGATGGCCAGGGGGGGCCTCCCGCGCGCGCTCTCGTGGGGCGCCGCAGGGCCAGGCGTGCAGGCCGCCGCTGCGGCGCGCCGCATGCACGGGTGCCCTAAGGGAGCCCTGCACCAGAGGTCATTCTTCTGGGCCTCCTGGATGGGGTCGGAGTAGACGGGGTCGAGGGATCGCGCCGCATCGCCCATGCATCGGCGATGCGGCTCGATGTGGAGCCCGTGTTTCCCCACGCCGACGTCGCCGATGCATCGTTGACGTCGTCGATGCATCGTCGATGCATCGTTGACGTCGTCGATGCATCGCCGGCGCATCGCCGATGCATCGTCGATGTATCGGCGATGCGGCGAGATCCTCCGACCCCATCTACTCCGACCCCGTCTAGGAGGCCTCTAATTCTTGCCGAGGGTTGAGTCGGGCCTGTCCCTCCACAGGAGGAACAATTCCAGAATGGTGAACAAATCCTAGGGGGACGATGTTTCTTCAGTTTTTTTTCAGCATGTCTGGAGTACGTGTGGAATGTTTTGTTTTTTTTTTTTCTCATTTTTCGCCCAGAGTCCAACTGTAGGGGGACAGGCCCGACCTGAGCCTAGGGTCGTCACTCTTGCGTGCAGCCAAGGGGAGGGGACTCTTCGATGCTCGTTTTGGGGACCTTCCTGGGGCCCACCTAGCGGATCTGTTCGACCCCAGTTCGGCTCGAGTTCAACACAAGTTCGACTCAAGTTCGACTCAAATTCGACTCAGGTTCGACTCAGGTTCGACGCAGGTTCGACTTGAGTCGACAGACGCTCAACGCAGCTTCGACGCAAGATTGGAGCGAGTGTCTCCAGGAAGGTCCCCAGAATCAACATCCAGTCAAAGGTCATTCTTGCCCAGGGTCGTCACTCTTACGTGTAGCCAAGGGGAGGGGACTCCAAGGCGGGGACTCCGTCCACGACCTCAGCCTGGGGGGGGTCATCTTCGGGGACCCCAGCAGCTGGTGGATGTGGACTTCGGATGAGGCAGGAGAACGAGCAATGCCATACACAGAAGCACCTCAGAGGTGCACGCAGATTTCTCGGCTCTGTGCTGGAGCCCCCCATGGGCGCTCCTTTGCCCCTGGCGCGCCCTGCGCGCCCTGGAGCGGGGTGCAGCGCCGATCCGCGAAGTCTGAGCGGGCCCCCGAGTTGTCTGGTTCATGCCTCTGCTGGCTCCCCTAGCAATCGGGCCCCAGGAAGTGGGGGGGGCAAGGATGCGGGGGCACGTGCAGGTGGGCAGCACCCTCGTGTCGCTCTCTCCCTGGACTGCGCCCCCGCATCCCCTACCGTTCCCTGCGCAGGCCGGCTCCCATCCCCAGCGCAGGGAGCAGCCCGCTGCCCGTGCACATTTCCGCGAGGAGCGCCAGTCTAAAGTATCTAGACGCCTGAGATCGTTCTGCTACCAGAGCTGCGACCAAAACATCATTTGCACTTTCCAAGTTCTGGAGAGGCGTTGTTGGTCTTCCCTATCTGATTCGAGCTGCAGGCCAGCTGCGGAGCCAGGAAGCACACCGCTCGCATGGAAAAGATCACGAGCGCTTCCGCGGTGCCACATCGCCCGCGGAGGGAGAACACGAGTCTTCGTGACGTGGGCCCCTGGGCCAACTTGCGACCCCTTCGTGGGGACCGGGGCCTTCATCCCAGATCGGGGCTGGAGCTTAAGAGACGGGGGTCAATGCAAGCGGGGGTTGGCCAGGGCACCAGATCCTGCAGGATCCTGCGAAGACCCCCTCTTGCTGACCCGGGTTAGCGAGCCGCTCGTGGCCGCGAGGCGGCCGCGCATGTTGGCCGACCCGGGGTGTCACACCGCCAGCGGAGGGAGAACGCACGAGTCTTCGTGACGTGGGCCCCTGGGCCTTTGTGGGCCCCGGAAACGGCAGGGCCCTTTCTTCACCGTTTCCAAAAAATGCCCCTTGAAAATGGAAACGGCAAAAAAACGGCGACCGGAAACGGCAAAAAAACGGCTCCAGGATTGGAACCGGAGCCGGAACCGGTCAAAGAACGGCGACGGAACCGGTAAAAAAACGGCGTCGGAACCGGCAAAAAGACGGCAAAACGGAACCGGTAAAAAAACGGCCTTGTCGTTTCCAGGGCCCACTAAGCCCTGGGCCCATTGCGACCCCTGCGTGGGGGACCGGGGGCCTTCCACCCCAGATCGGGGGCCTGCGCCGGGCCGCCGCCAGAGGCCAACAAGACCTCAGGGAAACCAGGAGGAGTAGTAGTAGTAGGAGGAGGAGGAGGAGGAAGAAGAGAGGACGAGGTTGGGGAGGAGGAGGAGCGGCCGTCGCAATTTCCTCCTCCGCCTCCTCCTCCTCCTCGTGCCTGACGTCAGATGTCGTCTGGGTCATACACTCTGGACGCCCGAAATTGGAATGGGTACGGAAAGAATGGGTACAATGCCCAACAGCAGTTCTGGCTCATTTTGAGCCGGACTCTCTGTCCACGCCGCCGCGGCCTGTGCCCATGTGAGGCAGAAGGCCGCCCGCCCAACAGCCGCCGCTGTTGGTTCGGGACAGCGTGTGCTGTTGGGCATTGTGCCCACTGTTGCCGTGCCCATTTCGGGCGCGGAAGCGGGGCGAGCAAGAGGAAGAGCAGGAGCAAGAGCAGGAGGGGGAGGGGGAGGGGGAGGGGGAGGAGGAGGAGGAGGAGGAGGAGGAGGAGGAGGAGGAGGAGGAGGAGGAGGAGGAGGAGGAGGAGGAGGAGGGAGGAGGGAGGAGGGAGGAGCAGGAGGAGGACAAATACACGGCCCCCGCCAGCAGCACCCTTGTGCAGTCAGTCTCGCGAGGGCGGCAGCTCACGCTGCCCCCCCCTGGGCGTGCGCGCTGCCTCGAGCTGTGCGGCACCGGGCCCCTGGAAGTCCCGACCTTTTCCCCAGGGCCAGTCCTGAGATTGTTCTGTTGTGCCCTGGCGATACAGGGCGCGGGGGGGGGGGGGAGAGGGAGAGGGGGCCCGTCACGTCACGCCTCGCGCCGTCGCGACCCGTGACGTGACCAGGGGATCGGAGGGGGGGGGGGCGGGGCCAGCCACGGGCGTTTTCGCGAGTCATGGAAAGGTGGTCCTTTGACCCTTTGACCCTGAGCAGTTCCTCGGCGGTCCCAGGGCCAGGCGAGGGCACCCGGAGGCATAAAACTGTCAAGATGTGTCTGCCGTGTTTTTCTCCACGTCGCGGGCATGTCTCAGTCTGTGCGCGTTCCTGGACCCACCGGCGCTGCTGAGGTCGCCGGCCCGTCGGCGTTAGGCAATTCGGCTCTTGCGCGGCCCGCTCGGACCTCACTCGCCGCTGGCGCCCTCGCCTGCGGTTGCGATAAAAAATGTCTCAGTCTCCAGCGCACCCTGCGCGTTGGCCAACGGATGCGCGGGACCGCCTCGTGGACAGTCCCGGTGAGCAGCACCTCCGTGGGGGCTCGCGAGGGCGGCTTGGCTCAGGACGGCCGTCTGCCCCAGTGGTGGGCAGCAGGGCGCTGCGCGGCACCCTTGGCCTGGCCCAGATCACGCTGTCCTGCCAGATCCGTACCGTTTCCGAACCTGTTCCGAACGTCCTTCGGGTCCCTTGGCAGCCTAGGACGTTTCGGTGAAACTTGTTTGACAGTTGCATGTGTTGCATGTGTCGTTGTTGTTGTTGTTGTAGTAGTTGTTGTTGTTGGTGGTGGTGGTGGTGTTGGTGTTGGTGTTGGTGTTGGTGTTGGTGTTGGTGTTGGTGTTGTTATTATTGTTGTTGTTGTTGTTGGTGTTGTTGTTGGTGTTGTTGTTGTTGTTGTTGTTGTTGTTGTTGTTGTTGTTGTTGTTGCTCTTGTCATTGTTGTTGTTGTTGTTGTTGTTGATATTATTGTGGTTGTTGTTGTTGCTGCTGTTTCAAGCGCTTTCGTGATCATGAGGTTATTTCCGATGGACCACCATAAGAAGAACGCCCTGCCGCTTCCACGGCCCAGGATGTCGCCTCGCTCCCTGTTGCTGACGGGGGGGGCCTCCATGAGCGGGGCAGACGTCAGCGATGCCCCCCGCTGTGCCAGGGCACGTCGCACGGCGGGCCGTTCGCGCTGCTGTCGCTGATCTTCCAGGGCTTTGGGGCCGTGTACGCCTGGCGCCTGAGCACGCTCGTGACGGTACCATGGGCGGCATCCGCGGTCGAAGCACACCTCTACCTCGGCTCGCCATCCCCCGGGAATGCTATACATACACACATACTGTTTGTGTGTAGTGTGTGTGTGAGAGAGAGAAAGATTAGTTTAAACAATCATGTGCCACATCATGTGTTCATTCATTGTGTGCTCTACCTTGACGTCGCGATCTGGGTGAGGAAGTATGAGCATGCTTTGTGCGAAACGGCCAGACGAAGAGGAACGGCGACAGTGGCTCGCCACTGAGCTCTGCCCTCCCAGAGAAAGGTGCGTATGTGAATGCGCACATGCGTGTCTACGGAATGCGCGTGCACTCACATATATATATATATATATATATATATGTATATATATATATATATGTATACATATATATATATACATATATATATGTGTGTGTATATATCGCGGCCCCCAAGCGGATTGCAGCCAGCCTCTCGGCGGGGATGCGAATCCGTGGTTGCCAGGCGGACGGGCTTGCCCGGCCTCGACCGGGGAGGGCGGGCCGCACTCGTCGCTCCCGGCCAGGGCCGTCCTGGGCTCAGAGCACCTGTCGCCGCGGCCCGGGCGGGCGCCCGACCAGGCTGGGGTGTACATGTCGTGGGCGGAAAAGAGGGGGGTGATGACTGGTCTGCACGCCCGAAATAGGTACTGAAAGAATGGGTACGATGCCCAACAGCAGCTCTTGTTCATTCTGAACAGGACTCGCTGTCCACGCCGCCGCGGCCTGTGTCCATTCGAGACAGACGGCCGCCTGCCCAACAGCGGCCGCTGTTGGTTTGGGACAACATTTGTTGTTGGGCATTGTACCCATTCTTTCGGTACCCATTTCGGGTGTCCAAATAGGGGGGGGTGGATATCAGGGCGTGGGCCATGATATTCCCCCAGATTCCATGGCGCCTCTTCTTATTCCATTTCGTCCCTGGCCCCCCCGCTGGGCCGCGCACGTGCCGCCGGTCACGATTTGCACCCCCCCCTCTTGGACACCCCCCTCTTGGCCGCTCCCGAGTGTACATGTGTGGCTGGCGTTAAGTCGGGCCTGTCCCTCTGCAGGAGGAGTATTCAAACATAGCCAAGAAATCGTGTGGGGACCATTTCTGGGGCATGTTTTGGGTGTTGTTGGTATTCGTAAATTTGTCGTCCAAGATCTCTCTGTAGGAGGGCAGGCCCGCCTTATGGCTGGCGTCCTCCTGGACTTCTTGGCGGCAGGTGCTGGCTGGCCAGAGCTTGTACCATCGTTCTCTGGACAGAGAAAGGGGGAGGTATCGAAGCAACGGCGTTCCATGGAATGGTAAGCTGATTGAGGGCGAGGAGTCGCTTTTGTGTAATGCTTGGCCAGGCGCAAAATCGGCGGCGGGACTTCTCAGAAGCCCTGCTGCCTTCTCAGAAGTTCTCGGTGTCCACGGGGAAGGTTTAGAAGACTTCTCAGGAGGCCGGGGAACTTCCGAGTCTCCTGAGACGGCTCGCCCCTTCTCAATTCCCCCTCGTGCGCGCCGCCTATAACCCGAGCGTCTTCTTTGGGTGGAGGGCAAAGGGTGACATTTGAAATGCGGTTTCGACTGATGTTCGAGGTCTGAATCTGCGAAAGGCGAATAACAAGACGGACTGAATTTCGAGGTGCAAAAGCCGATATGGATTTCACCCTGAGTCCTCCACCCTAAGAAAATTATCAGATAACAGTAGCCGGCTGAAGACAACCGAGATTAATGATGTGGCGTTTGGTCTCGCAGACGATGCCGCTGGCCTTTCCAGCGCAGAGTCTTCCCTGGAGTTGGTAGGCCCCACCGCTGCGTAGATAACGAACGTTCTCCTGTTTGGGGCTGTTCTGCCCCGCCCACTCCTCCTGACTCCCCCTCTGGATGGTATCCTCCATGGTCCCCTCCCCGTGATCCAACAACAACTTGGGTTAAATGGTCGACGGATCCAGTGAGCGCAAACTGCCCCGTGTAATCATCTCGCCAGGGTCGACAGGCTTCTACAAAAGGGGGCAAGCCAGGGATGGCTTTCCATGATCATGTCAGAGTAGGCCTTGCAAAACAGTCGAGTGGCACTTGTACCTCCCTGGCAAGAAAACTACGTTTAGCTTCCTGCCAGAACAATCCGCTCTCGTCCTCAAGTAAGCAGGATTGTGCTACAGTCGAACCTCCTTGATGAGCTCCCTATCCTTTGCCTCGTAGCATGCGTGCGCGTTCTCTTATATCGAGTCGTGGCGCAGCAGGTCAAAAGCATCTGTTGCGTCTTGGCATCCCAGTGCGTGCGTCACCCCTGCCGTTTGCATCCTATACGATCCCACCAGCTAAACCTCATCACCGACTCTCTTCTCCTGCTGGGTCCTCCGTGCAACAGGTTGGGCGGGTCCTACTTGGGTTCCTTACGTGCTATCGCTGCTTCGAGACAAGCCCAACCAAGGCAGCACATGACCATAATCAACATCTTGCCATCGCCGTCGAGCTTGCGATTTTTTGTGGGTGTGCGCGGCGCCTTTGCATAGCGCCAGCAGGCTGACAATATGTTGGACTTCCGGCATTATCCCCTTTCGACAATTACCCCTCCACATGTTACAGGTTCCTTGGTTGGCCAAGCTTGGGTGAAACACCAACCTCAAGACTACTGTTGGTGTGCTCCAAACTGCAAACCAACAGTAGTCAGCCAAACCTTCAAACCACCAAACCTTCAGCCACCAAACTGCTCTGACCATCAGACTCCCGCCTTCAACTGGTAATGACATCGCGCCGTTCTCCTCTATCATCTCCTTGCCCTCCTCTTTGATCGTGGCTTTGACCTCTGCGCCAGCCTGCGCGGTACATATGAGCATCCTCCAGAACGGGGTTCGTGCTGCATCTTGTGAGCCCATGCTCGAGCGGACGCTGAACTGTTGGGAATTGCTCACGCTTGCGCTGCCTTGGACCACGTCGCCTGCATGCAAGCGGCCTGGCCGACTTCTGCTGTATCTGCTGCCAACACTGCGCTAGCTGTTCTGAAGAGCTTGGTTCTGTGCTTGATCTGTTTTGTTAGCTCCTCGATCTCATCTGCCGATCCTCTAAGCTTGTCTTTGTTGCAGTAGATGTGTGAAATATTGCGTGTGCTGCCTGTGGAATTCGGTGTAGAGCGAGGGCTCGACTAGCTGCTCGACGGTAGTTCGAGCGAGGGCCCCAAGTAGTAGATGTTTCATGGTGTCCACGTCTCCCACCGCCTCCGACTCCGCGAACTCCTCCTTGATCTTCTGCACTTCCTCCTGCGTGTCCAGAAATGCCTCGTTCCTTCTGGATCTCACCTGCGCACATTGAGACAAAGCCTCTGGATTGGGCCTAAGGGGTCTGCGAGGTAGTGGTTCGACTGCGAAGCGACCGTACATCGAGGCAATAACTGGGCGATGGACCATGGGCTCCTTGGACGTGCTGGTCTGTAACTTCCTGGCCGGTGCCAGTAAACTTTAACATCGTCTCATTGTCCGTGAGGGACCCGAAGTGCAATCGTTATCCATATACGAGCTGCGCTCTCGAGAGCATCTGTCCGTGGACCCGTGCAACGTGGGAAAATAGTGGTCAGCTCCTGCCTAGATACATACGGGCTGAACCTGGCCTTAGATGGTGAGATCAGTCAAGTTCTATGTGCTCCTGCGACTTGGTCATTTTCGCTGTGGGGTAGCGCTTCTTTGAGGCCCGTGGGTACGAACGGTATGGCTCCATGTTGTCTGATGACCGCCATCGCTTCAGAACTCCACTTGGGCAAGTGTTGCACTGCGTCCCTAATGCCATTTACCCCTCATGATGCCTCATACGCCACCGCACTACCGTGTTGCAGTCCCTGACTTCATGCCAATTATGCAAGCCCTATTCCTCGCAGACTCGATGACGCGTCAACGGCAGTCTTGATGCTATTGGTTGGAAATGCGGGAAGGAGCGTGGCGCCGCAATTCTTGGTGGCGCATTGCCCGTATGAGTGCCATCCCCGACCGTCACGCAACCTCCGATGCTCCTCACGTCCTCCGCCGCCTCTCCTCGACTCTTCTCCTGCGTGCCCACAGCAGCGATCGGATCCGTGCGCCTTACTTCTGCACGAAACCGAGTCGTCTTCTTCACGTGTTCGCACATTGCGGGTGAAAGGCAACGAACTTCAATTGTCCTGCTGCCATGGAAATATTGTCCATGCCAAGAGACACCCTGCTTGCCTCCAGGGTGCCCTTGGTTTCTTGGGTTTCGATGGTGCTGCTGTGGACGGCGTGACGTTCCCACACCAAAAATCAATGGACGTCCTGGGGTCTGGGGGCTGGGTTTCTTGTGGGAAGTTTCTTGTGGTCGATCCCCTACTGTAGGCCGCCCAGCTGTCCAAGTGGCGCTGCCGCCGCCACACCTGCTGCTTCCATGAGGGATGCCCCCCGCTAAGGTGTGTGTGTGTGTTGTGTGTGTATGTGTGTGGGTGTCCGTGTCTGTGTGTGTGTGTCTGTGTCTGTGTCTGTGTCTGTGACTGTGTCTGTGTCTGTGTCTGTGTCCGTGTCTGTGTGTGTTGGGGGGGATGCTGCATCAGTGGATGGCGCTTGCTGCTGCGCCTGGCCTGAGCCCCCGGGGGGTGGGGGCAGGAAGAGAAGGAGGAGGTGGTGGTGGTCCGTGGCGGTCTCCAGAGTCCTCTGGAGCTCGCCTTGAGGTCTCCAGAGGCCTCCCCAGGGGCCTCTTTTCCTTGGAGGCACAGCCATGCAAAAAACACAAGAACTTGGAACCGCGACCCTCAATGCCCGATCCTGAACCCGCGATCCTCCTCCTTCCTCTCCTCTTCATCCTCCTCCTCCTCCACCTCCTCCTCTTTCTCACAGCAACGCCGCAGTGCGGCGTTGCTGTGTGGAACCCCGCCTTGTTGAAGAGTCGCGAGCCGTGGAAAGCGACTCGAGTCCTGGCCCCGCACCCAGATTTGCCCCGAGATGCGGCTGTGCCAGCGTTGGCCATTGACTCTCGTTGAGGTGGCCCTAACCTCGGAGCCTCGTTGGTGGCCGAACCTGGAAACCATTCAGTGGGAATCCCTCCTGGAGCCCTCCCCATCAGCAGGGTGCCGATGTGGAGCCTCTGGGATGGGGCGCCTGTCCCCCCTCGCGGGGCCTCGGAGGTCAGGACAACGGGCCTCCGCACCTCGCAGGCCGCAGGGCCCCCGAGGCCCCCAAGACGCCCCAAGAGAGACAAAGACGGCCCCCAAGAGAGCCCAAGACGGCCCGAGCGGGCCCCAAGGGGCCCCCAAAGACCTTGGCGGAGGTTTCCGAGCCGACCCATCGAGCCCCCCCGCCCGAAGACGATTCCTCCAGACCGCCAGCAGGCCATCAAGACCCCCCCCATCTGTGGGTGACCTGGTGGCCCGTTCCTCTACGGGCTGTTTTTTTTGAGGGGGGGAGGATCGGTGCCAAGGGGTGTTTTTCTGTGAGGGGGGGGCAGTGCCCAGTGATATGAAGGGAGGATCGAGGAGCGAGGAGGTGATTCTAAATGTGTTTGGGCGTCCGAAGGGGGGTCCTCGCGCCCCCCCCGTCGACATTCCTCCTGTACGGGGTCCTCCTCCTCCTCCTCCTCCTCCTCCTCCTCCTCCTCCTCCTCCTCCTCCTCCGCTCCTCCTCCTCCTCCTCCTCCTCCTCCTCCCTCCTCCTCCTCCTCCTCCTCCTCCTCCTTCTCCTCCTCCTCCTCCTCCTCCTCCTCCTCCTCCTCCTCCTCCTCCTCCCCGTCCTCCTCCTGCTCCCCGGGGGGCCGGTTTGTCCTCGGCAGTTGTCTAAGGTTCCGGTGCCCAGCGAGTGCCCCGGGAAGGCACCAACGTGCCCCCCAAGCCGCCCCGTCGTGCGAGTTGTGGTCATGACGCGTGCCTTTTCGGGGGGTGGGGACTCCCTGCCGGTTTGACCCCCCTCGGCACTGCCACGGGTGTGCGCGCCCCGCTGCCCCCGAGAGATCGCGACGGCCGCCGGCTCCGCCTTTGGAGTCAAGAGGGTCGTGTGGGCTGCCTTTTCGGGCGTCCTTCGGCGTCCTCTGGGGGGCTCCCAGGGGCTTCCGCTTCCCGGGCCCCTTGGGGCTGGGCGGGGGGACCTGAGGGTTCGAGGTTTTCGGGTGCCCCGCGACCTCTGACCCCTCTGCCCCCCCTACACGAGCGCGCGATGACGACGCCGCCGACGACGCCGACGACGCCGACGACGACGACGTCGACGACGACCCCGACGACGCCGACAACGCCGACGACGTCGACGACGGCGCCGACGGCGCCGACAACGCCGACGACGCCGCCGACGACGCCCGACGACGGCCGCTGGCTCGCCCCGCCCGCCCGGGGGAGGCCGCCCAGGCGGAGCAGGGCGGCGCCCAGGAGATGCTCAGGCGGCCCCTGCGCCGGGCCGGGCGGGCGCGGCACCGCCCCGGCGGCTTTTGTCCGGCGGTTTTTTCGTGCACGCCGGTCGTGTTGAGAGTGCAGCCAGCTAGTGTAGTGAGGATACGCGGCCACGCGTAGAGGGGGGTAGCAGGGCTCAGTTCGATTCCTCCGACTCGATTCGGTTCGATGCCGATTGCTTCCGGTTCCGATTCGATTCGACTTCGGATTCCGATGTTTGCCAGTCGCTGAAATCGAAGAAGAAGAAACGCCATTAGCATAAACTTTTGGCGCTCCGCGCGGAGTTCTTGGATCTGCGCTAGGGCCCCACGGCGGCGCCCCTGGCGCCGCCCCTGGCGCGCTCCGCGCGCCAGGGAGGGGGTCCAGCGCAGATCCAAGAAATCCGCGCGGAGCGGCAACAGTTTATGTTTATGGCGTTTGTTCTATCCTATGAAAGTACCGCCAGCCCGTATGATAAGGATACTCCGCCACGCGTAGAGGGGGGTAGGAAGAGGGGGGAAGGCTTCTTAGAAGCACCCCTGCTTCTAAGAAGGCACGGGCCTTCTCTGCACATGTAAGGCCGGCGCCTTCTGAGAAGCAGCCCCCTTTCTGAGAAGCCTTCTCCCTCCCCTATCCCCCTCTGCTCGCCGCCAAGACAGGCGGTTTGGATGCAGGGGCCCCGGAAGGCCCCTGGGGTCCAGGGCCCCGGGGCGTTCTCTGCCTCTAATCCACCTCCCCCCTCTTCGCTCCTTCTCTCCTGGCGTTTTCCCTCTTCCTTCGTCCTTCCCATTCCCTTCCTCCCACTCTCCCTCGTTCTCCCCCACTTCTTTTTGCAGGGCCCACACCAATTCCAATGGCAACGCTCGGGTGTTCTCACGACTAGGAAAACTGAAACACGACAAGAGAAAACTGAAACACGACAAGGCACGGCTTATTCACGACAAGCATTTTCGGCGCCCACTTTCGCCGCCCACTTTCGGTGCCCACTTTCGGCGCCCTCTTTCGGCGACCACTTTCGGCGCCCACTTTCGCCGCCCACTTTCGGCGCCCACTTTCGGCGCCCACTTTCGGCGCCCACTTTCGCCGCCCACTTTCGGCGCCCACTTTCGGCGCCCACTTTCGCCGCCCACTTTCGGCGCCCACTTTCGCCGCCCACTTTCGCCCACTTTCGCCGCCCACTTTCGGCGCCGAAAGTGGGCGGCGAAAGTGGGCGGAAAGTGGAAAGTGGGCTGGGCGCGCGCGAAAGTGGGCGGCGCAAGTGGGCGCCGAAAGTGGGCGGCGAAAGTGGGCGCCGAAAGTGGGCGCGAAAGTGGGCGCCGAAAGTGGGCGCCGAAAGTGGGCGCCGAAAGTGTGGGCGGCGAAAGTGGGCGCCGAAAGTGGGCGCCGAAAGTGGGCGCCGAAAGTGGGCGCCGAAAGTGGGCGCCGAAAGTGGGCGGCGAAAGTGGGCGCCGAAAGTGGGCGCCGAAATTGGGCGCCGAAAGTGGGCGCCGAAGGTGGGCGCCGAAAGTGGGCGGCGAAAGTGGGCGCCGAAAGTGGGCGGCGAAAGTGGGCGCCGTGAGTGGGCGCCGAAAGTGGGCGGCGAAAGTGGGCGCCGAACGTGGGCTTGCTTGTCGTGAATCTGTCTCTTCCTTGTCGTGAAGCTGCTTGTCGCGACACCATCCCGGCCATGCCGGCACATGTACGCCCACGAAGGATTGTCCGCCCGTTCAGGTTTGCCCGACGGTCTAAGCCCGCCGACCCCCGCAAAGAGAAATAATGCCCCCAAAGGCGGTGTGATCGAATACAAAAAGGGCGGGTATCGAGGGTCTGGGGAACTCGTTTTGAATGACACGCGGGCAAGTAAGAGCGAACAGTCATATAAGGAATGTTATTGTTGTTGAATCTTCACTATTGGCAAATAACTATTGTTGGTCCACCCTCCGGTGCACAGTGTATTTGTTCAATTGAAGTGCCCCTCCCAGCGTTCGCATTTTTATCAGGACAAGTCTTCCTCCTCAAACTGCGTTCTTAGCCTCCGGGTTACAACAACAGCGGCTCCCGCTTGACTCTTCTTCAGAATTCAGCCAGGACCCCCGCTCCTGCCTGAGACTTCCTCGCATTTTATTCAGGAGTCGCGCGATCGCTCGGGAATTTCTTACAGTTAATTCAGGAATCATTCTCTCGTCGCTCCAGAGTCGCGCTCTCGCTGGAGACTTCCTTGCAATGTATTACAGAATGGCGCCCTTGCATTGGGATTTCCGGCAATTGACTCCAGCGCCGCGCTCCCGACACTCGGGCACCCGGGAGTCGCACTCACGTCTCGGACTCCCTCACGGATTATTTAAGATTCTGGATCTCGCTGCCCACCGTGGCCCCGTTGCAGCCCTTTCGTGGCCCCCATCGCTGCCCTCCGTGGGCCCGTTGCACCCTTTCGGGGCCCCCTCGCTGCCCTTCGTGGCCCCGTTGCAGCCCTTAGTGGCCCCCATCGCTGCCCTTCGTGTCCCCGTTGCAGCCCTTCGTGGCCCCCTGTGTCGTGGTCCCGTTGCAGCCCTTCGTGGCCCATTCGCTGCCCTTCGTGTCCCCGTTGCAGCCCTTCGTGGCCCCCTCGCTGCCCTTCGTGGCCCCGTTGCAGCCCTTCGTGGCCCTTCGCTGCCCTTCGTGGTCCCGTTGCAGCCCTTCGTTGCCCCCTCGCTGCCCTTCGTGGCCCCGTTGCAGCCCCTCGCGGCCCCTTCGCTGCCTTCGTGGCCCCGTTGCAGCCCTTCGTGGCCCCCTCGCTGCCTTTCGTGGCCCCGTTACAGCCTTTCGTGGCCTCCATCGCTGCCCTTCGTGGCCCCATATATGTATGCCCTTCGTGGCCCCCGTTCGTTCGCGCCCGTCGTGGCCCCATATGCAAACCCTTCGTGGCCTGGCTCTCGCCCTTCGTGGCCCCCTCGCTGCCCTTAGCGGCCCCGTTGCTGCCCTCAGTGGCCCCGTCCTTGCCCTCCGCGGCCCAATCTACGTATTCCCTTCGTGGCCCCCGCTCGTTCGCGCCCGTCGTGGCCCCATGTGCATGCCTTTCGTGGCCCCGCTGTCGCCCTGTGTGGCCCCCGTGCTGTCCTACGTGGCCCAGTCGCTACCCTCAGTGGCCCCGTCGTTGCCTTCGTGGCCCCGCAATATCTGCCCTTCGCGGCCCTCGCTCGTTCGCGCTCTTCGTGGCCCCACACGCATTCCCTTCGTGGCCCCCCTGTTGCACTTCGTGGCCTACTTCGTGCCCTTCGTGGCCCTGCTGGCATTTTCTCGCCCTCGCTTTCGCTCGTCGTCGACGTCGCCCTCGTCGTCGACGTCGTCGTCGTCGTCGTGGTCGGTCCTGTTCGTCCTTCTTGGGGTTGGGCTGCGGCCGGTCAGCACTGCCGCTGGCCTGGCCGACGGTCCGCGGCCGCCCCGCCTCTTGCCGGGGCCCAGCCTGCAGGGAAGAATGGTCTACCCCTCAAAAGAGGGACGATCGAAGACGAGGAGGGCGGGTATCGAGGGTTTGGGAAATACGCGTCAACGGACATTCGAGCAGATAAGATCAAACAGTTTGAACATGACTGTTGATGTTGAGATTATTGTTGGTGCTGCTGTTGTTGTTGGTTGTTGTGGTTGTGGTTGTTGTTGTGGTTGTGGTTGTGGTTGTTGTTGTTGTTTTTTTTGTTGTTGTTGTTGTTGCTCTTGAATGTTAATCATTAAACCCTTAAGCGCGCCTTGGCGCTCTCGCCGAGGCGCCGGCTATATTTTCATTGAAAATCAAGCTTGCGCTCGAGCGGTTTGGGGGACCGTTAAAATTGGCCCCCCAACAGCAATAACGCTCCCGCTCGAGAATTCCTCGTTTTTTACTCAGGGCTGGTGTTCTTGCTCGCCGCCGAAAGCCGCCGTCCTAACAAAACCAGCGCTCCCGCTTGAGACTTCCTCCCGTTTTACCTTGGACTGGCGCGCTAGTCTTTCTCTCATCGGCGCCGCCTCCAGCCAAGACGACGCTCTTGCTCCAGGCTTCCTCCCTTTTTTACTCAAGGCGGTGCTCCTCCCCGCCGCCGAAAACCGCCGCCCCGACAAAACCAGCGCTCCCCCCGAGACTTCCTTTCGTTTTACGCTGGACTGGCGCCCAAGTCTCTTTTGAATTGGCGCCGCTCCCAGCAAGAACAACGCTCCCGCTCGAGGCTTCGTCCTTTTTTCCTGAAGACGGTGCTGTTCCTCGCCGCTGACAGCCCCCGTCCCGTCAAAACCACGGCTCCCGCTCGATGATCCCTCCCTTCTTACTCAAGACGGTGTTCTTCTTCGCCGCCGAAAACCGCCGCCCTGACAAAACCAGCGTTCCCGCCCGAGACGTCCTTCCGTTTTACGCTGGACTGGCGCCCTACTCTTGTTTCAATTGGCGCCGCTTCCAGCAAGAACAACGCTCCAGCTCGAGATTTCATTTTTCCTCGGGACACTGCTGTTCCTCGCCGCCGAAAACCCCCGTCCCGACAAAACCACGGCTCCCGCTCGATGCTTCCTCTTCTCTTATTCAAGGCGGTGTTCTTCTTCGCCGCCGAAAGCTGCCGTCCCAAGAAAACCAGCGTTCCCGCTCGAGATGCCGTTTTGTTTTACGCTGGGCTAGCGCCCTACTCTCTTCAGCATTGGCGCCGCTCCCAACAACAACAGCAGCCCTGCTCGAGACTTCCACCCTTTCTATTCAGAGCTAGCTAGGTCCTTGCCTCACCGCCGGCAGCCCCCATCCCCACCAAGGCAATCGTGTCGTTTGATACTTCCTTGTGCTTTACCCGTCGCTAGGGTTCCACTGGCGGTCTCGCATCGGCGCAGCAAGGTGCGGGCACGTGTTTTCGAGGCGGGATATGTTGAATTCCCTCGGAGGAGATGCTTGCAAGACCTCATTGGGCGGAAGATCTGGGAATGGGAATAACGGACCCCGCTATAAGACAACAGTCCCCCATTACGTGGATGGTTATCATGATGGTCCCATACTTCGTGCGGAACAATCGCACATGAGGGTAACATGATTGTTGTTGTTGCTGATGTTGTTGGTGTTGCTGTTGTTGCTGGTGTTGTTGTTGTTGTTGCTGGTGTTGTTATGGTTGTTGATGTTGTTGGTGTTGCTGTTGTTGCTGTTGTTGTTGTTGTTGTTGTTGCTGGTGTTGTTGTGGTTGTTGATGT